GTAAAAACAATAAATACCGCCTCGCGTATTTGTTGTCGTCGTATATAATGTTATATATATATATATGTGTATATATACTAAAGTGTCCCCTAAATATCGGTCTTTTATTAATATACACACGTAGGTGTATGTATATATACACATATATACACATAATATAATGTCGTTCTCTAAGGGTGACCACCACTACCCCTGTCACCATCAAATGCTGGAAATTTCGAGTGGTCGCCGACGGTGTCGGCGGCAGCGGTTTATTATTATTATTTATTATTATTTTTTAACCGCATGTGTCTTTTTTCAACGACCCATACGCTCCCACTATACACATAATATTCGTACGCTCGTATATAACTATATATATACAATATACTATATATGTATACATTTAATATACGCACTCATACACACACATATATAAGCATATCCTAAAAAACCATCATGTACACGGCACTCGCACTCACATTATATAATAAGTGTACCTAACAAGTACGTCACACGTATATTATATTGTAGATATTTAAATATATAAATATATATATTAACACTCGCACATATAATACCGCATGCATATATATATATATATATAATACATAATATTAGAATATGTACGCGAACGGCGGTGATGCGTATGTAGCCGGGTCGCACGGTTGTCCTCGTTGTCGGTCTCGGGAAACGACTATACGACGTCGGCGGAGCGGTTTATTATTATTTATCTACCCATTTAACCCAACCCTGTTTTCCTCCACGCGAGCGTTTTTTTCTTGTTTTGTTTCCACGAACTGTTTGAACAACAACACGTATACAGTCGTGTGTATATATATATATATATATACATGACGTGAGTGTGTGCACGGTGCAGTTTCTACCTGGGCCTCCACCGCCACCGTCGCTGACAATCTCTCTTCTTTTTGTCTTTATGTCCGCCGCCACACCGTCACCTGCTTCAAAAAAAAAAAAAAAATAAAATAAAAATAAAAACCCATCCCATCACCCATCGGCCATCGCGAGTGCCGTACCCACCACCCCACCGCAACCCACTGCGCACGCCCAATATCATATTATTGTATACCGTCGCCACACAAGTTTATATAGGTACGCGATGACGAACACGACGACGCACTTTGTTTGCTCGCCGTGTGATCATGATATTTCCTGTTTGCCGGTGGTTTTTTCTCTCAAAACTATTATATTTTAGTGTGTATAGAGATACTAAGATGACGATGACGACAACGACGATGATGAACATCACTAAAACGTAGGTACCTACCTAATACATAATATTATACAGCCGCCACCTATATATGGTTGTTGACAAAACGGCGGCGGGACCGTGTGAGGTCTGCGGCAGCCACTCCTCTAGATCGCGGCGGCAGCCTACACGATGACTATATAATAGTATATTATATATAGTATATCTCGCTGCACATTAAATGGTATGTACGTTTAAACGGTGTATTCGGCGGACGATGGTGTTTTAAATTTATTAAAAATATTTTCCCGGTAGATAGAAAGAACACGGTACGCAGTATATTATAAGCATATTATATTACAAATATGTGCCGCCGTGACAACGACAATCCCTCCCACCACACGGGTATTGCACACTGGTACCTTGTTTGTGATAATATAATAGAGTACAATGACAAAATAACAACATAATAATAATATAATATCTCATTATACATTGTAGTCACAATGGCTGCAGCGTTAAACGGGCGTGACGGTGACAAGACAACGCGCACCGCGGTACAACAATATACCTATACTCACACACACAGACATATGACTTAACGTGTCATATGTTTCATAGGGGATATCCCGAGTACGTCCAGTTTTTAATTTTTACTTTTTTTATAGCCCGAGTGTGTCCGCAGTCATATCGAAAAAATTATATTGAATAACCCGAGTGTATCCTTAGTCCACAGCCCACATGCAAGACAATTTCATACATCGAAGACAATATAAATCAATTTCAAAATAATAAAATATCAAGACTAGATTTTGTCAAGATAATGGCATTATAGGCTATTTAGATATCTAAAAAAAAAATTAATAACATTTTTCTTAATTACAAAAAAAAAACCATTTAAAATAATAAAATAATTACTACACTCATCCAAATTCAAGGGTATAAGCTAAAATAAAAGATATTATCATAATTAAGAAACAAAAAATATTCTTGAATAAGTAGGTATAAGCCAGTTCACTTCCTTGTGGTGTACCTCGGGTAGCTCTAAATGAAGAACACAATGAAGAACACACTAGGGCATATTGTCGTATATGTAAACAGTCGTCAATTATATTTTTTTTCTATGATATAGGTAGAAATAATTTTTAGCAAGTAAGATATTATTATAAAATGTAAAATGATATTTTCTCACCAACCTATGAGGCAGATGTGCTGAGGCAACATAAAATTTTCAATTACAAAAGACCTCGAGACAAGGGGAGTCGGGGACAGTCGTGGAAGTCGGGCAGTCAGGGAATACTGTCAGTCCCGCAGGCCACCAGTTCATTGATCGTCGAAGTTTTGCGACGGAGGAAGACTGTCGTCGGACGGACATAGTGTTTTTGAATTATTGTTTTAATTATTTAATATAAAGTGTTTCCGACCAAATTAGTATATGTTTTGATTGAGTAGCCACACAATTCTGTCGTACTCTTTGAATTCGATCTGAAACTGGTTAATTTATGGTCGTTGAGGATTGAAAGTCTAAAGAAATAAGATAGCAATATCGACTTTTGAGAGCTATCTGAAACCGGTTAATTTATGGTCTTTTGGTGACTCAATTGTTGGTAGAGGTATATCACCGAAAGGTGATACGAAAGGTATACGACAATGTCAAAAATATGACTTTTTTTCTTGGGACCCATTCGGGTAATACCTTATTTCGGACGCACTCGGAACATTAAAAAAGGGTCATTTCGAGACGCACTCGGGAAACTTCCGTTTAATAATTTACTCTGTATATTATGTTTAATGTGCATGACATAAGGCTACAGCGACGGTATTGTTTAAATCGAAAGCGCACGCGGTGCGTATTACACTCGTAGGTATATAACAATAATACGTCGTATAATAATAGGCTTATCTCGGGGACATATGAGAGCGCTCGGCGTCTTGTTTTCGTTTATCGCACTGTACGGTTTCGTCAGTGTGTGTGTGTGTGTGTGTGTGTTTGTATGCGTATTTGCATTTTGTATCTGAGAGCACGCCGAGAAGTTCCGCCGGCAACAGATAAAACCCCCGCCGTAACCATCGTGCGTTTTCGGTGCCGCTACGATAAAGTGAGTGGTGATGGCTGCACAGTGGCGGGTAAAACGCGTATCGCAAAACTTTCAAATGCCTCTACCACTCAGCGCGGTCGTAACCGACTCGTAGTCGCTATATCCTTTGTTCGCCTGCGTTCTATACCGCCATCGTTCTATACCTAATCGTCGAACAATACAATCGCGCTGATACGATTTCAGTGTCCGCGACTATACATTACAATACATAAAATACATGTCGCTATACACAATACACGAAAGTTTTTTAAGAGCGTATTATTTTCCGGCACTGTCGTTATGTTTTCTTTGTAGCTATCTAGAGTATATATATATAGACGACTATAGAGAGGGGTATCTTATATCCAATAAATCCGTGCTCGACCAAAACATTGTTTGATTAATCAACCTAGAGCGATTTCTTTACAGAGACTAAGTTATCATAATTAATAAAATTTCTTCCCGATATTTTATTGAATTGGATTCAATACCTAAGTATTTTCTATTGAGGTGCATTATTATATATAAATTGATTTATCCACGGAAACGCTGTGACATAGGATTTTCTGTACAAAAACATGAGTACTTCAAGTATATTGCTTCTTCAACCAGGATAATGATAAACAATTTCTTGTAATTTAGTGTGATCATGTGTCTTCTATATACTATTGTAACAATTATAAATATAAATATATGTTACATATGGCATCTATTTATACAATATGAACTCTACTTTATGTACAATTAACTGCACTAACCGATACATTAAAATTAATATCTGCACATATAATTTTAAGGTCTATGGCCAACACACGCCATGTATAAGTAGCTATAAGTTAGTTCGTTGTACACCATATAAACATTAATACACGAACTCCGTAGAACTATACAACACAGCCATCTATTATTATATGATATTAAAGTTATACATGTATCTATATGAGTATTATGTTATAAGTATTTTATAAATAATAAATTAATAGTGATTGTCATTAAGTCCTTGGTTATTTAAATATATTTTCGATCTTTTTATCTATCTCTACCCCAAGTTACGGTAACTAACGGTATATCCCCATAGGGATCTACGACTCCCCTGGATATCCTTAATTTAACTGGTCGTTTCCCCAACCACGTTACATACTCTTATAATGATAAGTGTAATGTGACCAAGTCAAAATTATGACCTGCAGTTAATATGGGACAAAACTATAGTGTATAAAAACGCCTAACAAGTCAACATCATGACTGCTGATTGCATTATACTGCAGTCGTCAAGTTTGATTGCATTTAAATGTTACAAACATATTTATTTGTTAGAATCACTAGTGATTATAGACAATATAGTTATAGTCATATGTCTATAATAATTGTACGATAGATTATAATATAATATCGAACGACATCACATAGTGCAAATATCGTATCACGTATGCGATCTCAAACATTTAATAGTAATACTCGTTGAATTTAAATACTTATAAAAACAGCGCCCACCGTCCATATACATATATATATATATATTTGTGTTCTGTATTAAACGGCGAAACCCTATAGTATATGATAATATACACGTGTGCACGGACGGTGTAGGCTATAGGTATTATATCTTTTATAGCCTATAGGTACACGCACGTTTGAAGCTCTAAAAAAAACATACCCGGCTAATCGCAATAATAGAAAAAAAAAATCATGTACGCGTGCATCGTTCAC